GTATAAATGCAGAATATTTTATTATGTGATTGATTGAAAATAAATATGTAGAAAAAGAATTTTCAAATAATGGTCATCAAACACGGACTGCTTACTTTTGCTTCCGCATCTGAATATCAAGCCCCCAACAAACATTATTTTTAATTTTTTTTATATACTCATTTTTAATCACGTAATTACACAATAAAATATTTTACACGTAAATTCAATATTTTTTCTACTTTTTAATGACACATTTTCCTAAAAATCATTATTTAAAATTTTCGCCATGATATTCAAAACGAGAGCCCAATAAAATGAGAGCAATTTAGGTTTTTTTAAAGTAGAAATTACACAATAACCTACCTTTAAAATCTGTATTCTAAAATAAAAAATTAGATGGGTAGTTTAACCTTTCAAAAATCAAATATTTTATATTTAAATATTAAATATTAATTATACAAATTTCATTTCAAAACTCTAATCAATTTCTTCTTTCTCCATCTCCCTCCTCCTCTCTTTACAGCCTCTCTACTCGATCTATCTAGCGCCGCACTGTCTTCTCTCTTCGGTGGACCTGGCGCAACAGCGCCTAGTAGTGACAACAACACTGTTGTAAATGATCTCTGACTACAACGATCGTGTGTAGAACCACCGAAGTCCATCTCTTTTCATTCAACTTCTCCGGTGGCATCATCCCCCAGGTGCTGCTGACTTCCGAGAAGGTAGTGCACATGTCGCCCGCACTGCAGCCACGATTTATGGCCTCATCTACTTCAGCAGCTCCATCTCGCATGTCGAGTTTAGAAATTTTTTGGTGGTGGTATGGTGGCGGCTGTAATAGCGACACTGAGTTTGGAGATTTTTTTTTTGTTGTGGTGTGGTGTGAAGATGGAAATGGAAATGGTAATGGTGATTCTTGGTACAGGCGGTGATCGTGGTACTAACCGTGATGTTGGCGAGATTGTGGTAGCCTTTGACAGCACGGCTTAAAGCTCACAAGTTGTACCATTGCGCCGTTATGGTAGAGACCTGCTGTGCACTGTAGCCGAAATCTACAACTTCACGATCTGATGGGTTTTTGGGTATGCTTTCAGTTGGTAAATGGGGGTTGTAATGGTGGTGGTGGTGGTGGTGTTTGGGTGGTAACGACTTTGTTGGATCCAACGGTGGTGAAGGTTACGTTGGATTTGGTGGTGGTTGTGGTTTTGTTGGTGGCGATGGTGGTGGTGGTAAATATTATGGGTGGTGAGATGGTGGTGAAGGTTATGGAGATATGTTGGTAGAGATGGGTCTATCGAGGTGGTGGTAGATATGGCACGACGATGTGTTGATTTGAGGTGGTAATGTTACCGTCGAGAGGTGGCAGTGGTGGTAGTTATGGTGGCGACGATGGCAGTGGTGCTACAACAAGAAATGTCTAGGTGGTGGTCATAAGTGTTGTGGGGTGTTTATGACCAACTAATTGGTTAAATGTGACCAATAATTGGTTAATTTGTGATAAATAAATAATGTGACCTAGAAATTATGGTTGTGACTCATAATTTATTAAATTGTGATCGAAAAATTAATCGTGATCAATTAATCTAATAATTTGCAATGAATAAATGAGTTGTGACCAATAAAAGTTTTGATTCTGTGACCAATGAATAATCTGTGAACTATAAAAATTTTAATTTGTGATAAAAAAAATAAGTTGTAATAATTTGATAAATTGTGACTAAAAATTAATCCATGACTAATCACTTTTTTGATTTGTGATCGATGAACAAATTGTGACCTACAAAATTTTGGAATTGTGGTCGTAAAATAATTTTTTGATTTGTGATAAAAAAAAATAAGTAACTAATTAAATTATTAATTTTTAATCAAATTGTATAGATCTGCGTCCTAAATATATTTAATTAATGAAATAATTAATTAGCTAATTAAATCATAAGTAAATTTTAATAAAAAACTGATTTTTGAAATTTTAATTTCTTGATTTTAAAATGTATAATACTTGGCCCCTGTTTGGGGCTCATTTTTTATACAAAAAAAATGCATTATTCAATCGTTTCCAATCAAATCAACCATATTTTTTGGGGAAATTTGCCCAGATAGCCGGACTGGGCAATGATTTTGGTGAAATAGCCTTTGACCAATACAAAAGGGGAGAAAAAAAATCAAAATAGTTTAATTAATAAAATGACCAAATTATCCTTCACATTTTAACACAAAAATCTTTCCATATTCCCTCTTTTCACCTCGTTTCTTCCTCAGGTAAAACCCTATTCCCCCAATTCAAAAATTAACGTCTCTCTTCTCTTCCCCTTTGAGAAAATCTCACACAAAATCGACTACAAACCTCACGAAATCAACCTAGCAAAAGAGCACGACGAGCATAGGCGAGCGAAGTGACCCCCCTGCCGCCTCGAAGACTTTGTTTTGGAACTACGAGTTTGTGGAAATTCTTCTCTTGCTACTGCGGCTGTGAAGGTGAACACAAATTTAAGGTACAAGTTCTATAATGTGAGGAGATTTATGTATTATGTTGAGAAATGAAAGTGGTTGCCTTTGAAATAGTAGCTTTTATTTTTTTGAGAAAAAAGGGGGGTTTGTGGCTGGTGGCGGAGGGGATGCATGAGGTCCCTTTTGAACTCCACTATTGCAATGTTTCATTTGTGTTATGAAATTGTTATCTTCTAAATATTTAGGAACAAGGTAACAATAATTTTGTCATTTATGCACGTGATTCTCAACTGTTTTACTCATTAAGTTTTAATCTTTCTTCTATAATGTGGAGTATGTCCCTTCCTCATTTTTTACTCCATAGTTTTTTAGCATTAACATAACCAACCCTTGTGATGATTTGATTTAAAAATCACTAATTAGTACAAGACCAGATGAAAATGAATAAGGAAGAAAACTCCACTAGAGTTTGTCGTCTCCAATTTGATAATTAGGATTGGTTATGGAAGTCAAATCGTTGGACCTGGGGATTTGATCAAAAGGGTTTTAACTTTAGACATGATTACATGTTATTCATAAAATTAATCTTTACACATGTAGAAATGTTGTGCATAATTCGAGTATATAAAGAACAAAAATTGTACATAATTGATATGAGATGTCAAAATGATTCTAGAAATGTCAAATTTTGTCACTTTGGTAGTAACAGTAGTAGTGGGTAGTATTTGTGACTTTTATATGAGTTGGCCTCATGCTTTACTTTACTGCATTTATCTAATTTCGAATAAATGAACCGATAACGTTTGACATTTGGTTCTTTTGTGTGTTAGTAGTCATGTATATAGAACACTATCTAAAGCAATTTATATATCAAATCATTGATATTAACTTGTAAATCATTTTTTGCATAGTGCACTATAGAGTTGTGACACATTTAAGGTATTAGTTTGAGGTTGAATTGACAATGTTTCATTGCTTTACTACAATTTTGTGTTGCCTTGGAGCTTTCTATGTGTAGTCGTGAAATAGCTTGTAAGTCGTTATTTTTGTCCAATAATTTGGTAAATGATTGCTTTAAGAAATAAGATTGCTAACTCAATTATTGTTTTGCATTTTGCAATAGGAAAAATGGATGATGAAGACATAGTGAACGTGAAGATAAGTAATAGATGTAGAATGAAATTGATCGATGAAGTTTTCTATAGCTTAGATGAAAAGCATCAGGACCTATTAACCAATTCCTGCTTTGGACATTTGTTATGCCTAAGAAAGATAAAACTTGCATCCCAATTAGTTCACCAATTGATTCTGAGGTCAATAAGTACCTCAAAAGAAAATGAAGTATTTATTAAGGTTGGAGACAAGCTTGCAAGATTTGGATTGCAAGAATTCACACTGGTGACTGGGCTTAAAGCGGGGGATTTGGAGAACGAGGATCCGAAGCTAGGGCAAAATTGTAGACTCGTGAAAGAGCGTTTTAAGCGTAGCAACGGCAAAATAAAGAGAGGTTTATTGTTACAAGTTTTCAAACGCTGCAAGCATAAGAATGATAAATATAAGTTGGCCTCCTCGTCATATTGATGTACGTGGTTTTGGCAGCAGAGGAGAATACATTTGTTAACCCATGGTTGTTTTATTTGGTGGATGATCTCGATAGATTTAACAACTATTCATGGGGGAGAAAGTCATACGAGTACACTATTAAGGTTTTTAAACGTAATTTGGGAGACATGTTGAAGGGTTATACAACTTCTCAGCGATATCCGTATTCTCTGCATGGATTTCCATTTGCAATCATGGTAATATGTTCTAAAATCATTTAAACTTTACATTTTATTTAATTATGTTACTAAAAATTAAATTTATGATTGTACAGATTTGGGCATTTGAAGCAATTCCCGGTGTTGGAAAGAAATTCGGTCGTGTAACAGTCGATTCCAGAATTCCAAGAATGATAAGCTAGGAAATGTCCAAGCAACTTAGGGAGGAAACACTTTGCACATTTTTTGAATCGTCAAATGTAAGTTTTATTTATCAAAATGTAAATGGCGTATCAATAATTATAATAAAACAATTTGCTGAATAATTATACATTCTTGTTTTTTCAGATAGAGGTACATTGTACGCTTAATCCTACAGACGATGAATTGCTGGAGCCGTTCTGGAAGGAATCCGGACCTTTTGATAGTGAAGCGGATCCTAAGTTGGAAAAAGTTGCTTCCAAGGATGAAGGCGAAAAAGACTCTGAGAGTGATGATGCTCAGTCAAGTTTCACTCGCCCACAATGTCCTAAGACATCGGATCGACCATCTATGTCTAGCCATCTACATTCATCCAAGACAGCTAGACGACCCCCACCTTCTTATGACTATATCACTCATATAATAAAACAAGAAATAAGAGGTGTTGAAGAGAGGCTCCGAGGCGAGATGTCAGATCGCTTCGATCGAGTAGAAAGGAAAATTGATTTATTTCTCCAATTGGCTGGACAAGGTGGAGTTCAGTCGGAAAGAAGCAAATTTGATGATCGTGCTTTTAGCAAAGGCAATCAACAGAACAAAGAGAAAAGAGAGCGAGATGAGGTAATTATTGAAGAATGCTTTCATGAAGAAGTCACACCGAATAAGCAATCTGAGGCTTTTCCTACATATGATGATGGTATATTCTCTCTTGTACATTTTGCAATAAGTTACAAATAATTTTTATGTTGGGTTCCGTTTGTTGGATTTGTAGGATTTTTATGTTGGGTCCCATTTGTAGGATTTCTGCCAGATCCTTCATCTGCTATAGTTTTGTACCAACAACGGCCTTTAGTCTGGATTGAAGAGACCTTTCGAACCGAGGAAGCTCGACAAGATGATGTCACAGAGAAGGTGGCTAGGACAAAAGAGGATTCAAACATATCTAACAAAGGTACAGATAATTTATGTTTCAATATTTCACTTTTCAATCTTGTGTGTTAAAATGGAATGAATTGTGTTCCATCAACTTTTGTAGATGATTATGAGAAGCCTTCGACATCTTCGCATGTTTGCCAACCTAGTAATGAAATCATTGTCATCGAGGATCCGAATTCTGAATTGCCTGTAGGAAGGGGGCATCGAGTTAAGAGAAGAGCAGTCGTGCTGCTTTCTCCATACACTAATCCCTTAAAGAGGAGAAAATTGTTGAACATTCAAGCATATGACCCTTTAAGGGAAGTAGATCCTGCAAAAGTTGAAGACCTCAACAAGTGGTTGGCAAATGCATCCACAAGGTAATTTATTTTATTCCAGTGGTTGGCGTAGTGAAGGGTGTAATTTCGAATTTGCAAGTTAGCTTAGTTTGATATTATTGTTGTCACAGTGATACAGTCACCTTGGCTATTTGTGAAGTGCGAAGGAAATTCTTTGATGAACTATTGAAAGATGACGGGTGGCTTATCGATGATGTAAGTAATATTTGTATATTAGAATTATTTTTACTGAAAAATGCATTTAATTAATCATGTTTTGGTGTACAGCATATCGACTCGGCCTTATACCACATTAGGGAAAGGGCAGTGACATATCCACATATATTTCAGCAAGATTGTGCTATATTGGATTGTTATTTTTGGCAACTTATGAAAAAAGCCTACCTAAAAATGGGTGCACGTAAAAAGAAAAATGGTAACTATGTATTTGACCAAGAGCTCGTCGATTATGTTGAAGGGGCTTCACCGGTGCTCGGTAAACACTGGAGTAACTGTAAATTTTTGTATGTTCCTTACTGTGTACCGGGTTCTCATTGGTTTGCACTGAAGATTGATTTGACGGAGCGAACTATTTACATTTACGATAGTTTGCCAAAACACATCCGCGCTGCTCAGCTGGCCGAATGCATGAAACCTATTCAAGTGGTAATTCCCTTGTTGATAAAGGAACACATAGCGCGTGAAGAAAAATTCAGCACCAGCATGTTTCGTTATCAGAGGGTTGTAGTTCCTGAACAAACAAACGGGTAAACTTGGTTGAATATAACATTTAGCACCAATATCTTTGACTTCTTTCGTCTAATTCATGTCTATCTAATTTTTTTCCCATTATGAATTTGTAGGTCTGATTGTGGGCTTTTCACAGTGAAATTCATTGAGTTTTTACAAGCCCAATTGAATATGGATTTGATTCGTCCGGAATATATGTCTATTTGGAGGAACAAATTAGCTGCAGAGATATTTGCATGGCACTTTGATCCGTAGATTTAGTGAATGTTTTGAAGTTATTTTTGTATTTAGACCTTGGAGATTGATTTTGCAACCTAGTAAATCCTTCAAGTTGAATGTTAATTGAAGTGACAGCTTTTATGTCTTTCATTTAAAAGTTCTTATGCATTTCTATGAAAATGGTAATTTGGTTTAGGGTTTTGGTCAAGTTTTGTTCTTGAGAACGGTGCTTGTGCCGTTAATGATATGAGAGAAAAGCCATAAGAACGGCATAACTGTCGTTATGTTGTTCGGTCATTGTATGCGAGAACACCACTAGTGTCGTTACTGATTTTGAAAAGATAGGGAGAATGACACAAGTAGCGTTATAAAGACACAAATACATTCATAAGAACGGCATAAGTGTTGTTACCGCTTATAGAGAACGACACAACTGTCGTTATAGTGACAAACATAATAACGGGAATGACACCTTACCGTATTTGCAAACAAATACCGTATTTTTTCAATATAAGCGTTAACAAAATATTAAATATTAAATTTTCAGATCTGCATTTTTATTTCATTAGAAGTTAGATCTACAAGTCTACGAGAACGACACTTGTGTCGTTACTGATCTTGAAAAGATATTGAGAACGACACAACTGCCGTTATTCTGACAAAATTAATAATGGGAATGACACCGGTAGTATTTGCAAACAACTTACCTTATTTTGTCAATATAAGCGTAAAATAAATGTTAAATATTAAAATTTCAGATTTGGGAGATACCCTCATTAGTTTGATTTTCTAACGAATGTGGATGGTGACTTGTGATTTCGCCGAAATCCATACCAATTCCCCCATTATCCGATCTTTGAGGTCGACGCGGAGGAAATGAAGCGAAAAATGGGAAAAATAGACAGAACGACACAAGTGTCGTTAAACGACACTTGTGTCGTTCTGTCAGTAAACACGAGTTTGAGCAGCCACGAGCCTTTCGGGCCCCTGTATTCGACAAGTTTAACTCATTTGAGTCTCGAGATGGCCATGTCGGTCACGTAATTTGGGAGATGCCCTCATTACTTTGGTTTTCTAACGAATGTGGATGGTGACTTGTGATTTCACCGAAATGCATGCCAATTCCCTCACTATCCGTCACGTAATCTATAATTCTGACTTCCTTAAGTTAGGAGGTCCGATCTTTGAGGTCGACGCGGAGGAAATGAAGCGAAAAATGGGAGAAATAGACAGAATGACACAAGTGTCGTTAAACGACACTTGTGTCGTTCTGTCAGTAAACACGAGTTTGAGCAGCCACGAGCCTTTCGGGCCCCTGTATTCAACAAGTTTAACTCATTTGAGTCTCGAGATGGCCATGTCGGTCACGTAATTTGGGAGATGCACTCATTACTTTGATTTTCTAACGAATGTGGATGGTGACTTGTGATTTCACCGAATTGCATGTCAATTCCCTCACTATCCGTCACGTATTCTATAATTCTGACTTCCTTAAGTTAGGAGGTCCGATCTTTGAGGTTGACGCGGAGGAAAGGAAGTGAAAAATTGGAGAACGGCACTTGTGTCGTTCTGTCAATAAACACGAGTTTGAGCAGCCACGAGCCTTTCGGGCCCCTGTATTCGACAAGTTTAACTCATTTGAGTCTCGAGATGGCCATGTCGGTCACGTAATTTGGGAGATGCCCTCATTACTTTGGTTTTCTAACGAATGTGGATGGTGACTTGTGATTTTACCGAAATGCATGCCAATTCCCTCACTATCCGTCACGTATTCTATAATTCTGACTTCCTTAAGTTAGGAGGTCCGATCTTTGAGGTTGACGCGTAGGAAATGAAGTGAAAAATTGGAGAACGGCACTTGTGTCGTTCTGTCAATAAACACGAGTTTGAGCAGCCACGAGCCTTTCGGGCCCCTGTATTCGACAAGTTTAGCTCATTTGAGTCACGAGATGGACATGCTACTCACAACATTTGAGAGATACTCGCATTACTTGGACAACATGAAAAATGAGAACAACACTAGTGCTGTTACTGTTTTTGAAAACCGCACAAGTGTCGTTAGTTATGTAAACACAATACAAATAATTGATAACTTATATATTTATAAATAAATTGTCATTAAATCAATAATGTTTAATTTCTGAACAATATTTTTATATTTTCTGGGTAAAATACAAAAAACGGCACCAGTGATGTTTCGATATGACAACAAAATATATCTGCCATTATGGCTTTATCGATTCTAAGATAATGACAAAATGAATCATTCCAAAGATTTTAAATAGTTTACATTTAGGAATGACAAAAGCAGTACATCATAACACCACCGTCCTTTTTAATACTACAAAAGAAGCACATTATAAAAGTCAAAATTCAACAGATGTGCGGTTTTATCTTCATCATTCATGTCTCTCGCTAAGTGATACGGTTATGCCCAGTTTTCAAACACCTACTGCACTTACGAGACTTGCGCACCTCTCCGGCTGATTGTTTCCTTTTTTTTGGTGGACGTCCACTTCCTCTTCGTGTCAACGGTCGTATCACCTTTCTTGATCGAACACTATCGGGAATTTCCCAGTCCACCTCATTTGACAGTGGATATATATATTCAGAATAAGCTTGTTTCCAGTAAGAAGTGCTATAAAATGGAGAGCAAAACCTGTAACAGTTGTCTCCAACATCCCTTACTACTGCAATTGCATGTGCACATGGAAATTGGTCCAGATCAAATTCCTTACATGTGCATGTCCCCCTCTCCAAATTAACAATGAAACTTTCCATTTTATCACTCACTTGCATTTCATCTGGGCTAAGAGCTTGTACCTCAAAACCTTTTGACTCATTATACCTATCGTACATTTTCTCCTCCATTAGCGGGGTGAAATAGCTTGTACATTTTTCGGCATCAATGCGCCTATCATGAAACCAACTCTGCATCTTTTCCCTGATATACTCGATCAAAGCAAGTATAGGAAATTCTCGAGCACTTCTCAACAATGAATTTAATGATTCTGCATTGTTTGTGGTCATAGTATTGTATCTGATTCCATTGAAATGTGCTCTTGACCAATACTCCACGCCAACCTCTTCCTCTAAGTATTCTCTGATTTTCTCGTGTAGACTGCACAATGCTTGCATATTAATCTCAAATTTTGCCAAACTATATGCCTGTGCAGTAGCTCTAAACAATGGCACAATATCTATGCGAGGGAATTTGCTCTTCAAGTTAGTTTGCAAATGCCATATACAATGTCCATGATGTGCGTTAAGATAGACGCTGTTGAAACCATTTGATATGCTTGTTGCACAGTCAGATATAAAGACTAGCTCGTCTGTGTCATCGGTTATCTGTCGTAACTTCTGAAAGAACCAAGTCCATGAGTCATTGTTTTCTGAATCCACTATGCCCCACGCAAGTTGATAAATTTGACGATTTGCATCTTGGCATGTGGCAACAAGTAACGTACCTCGATACTTAGATTTTAAAAATGTTCCATCCACACAAATTACCCGTCGAATTGAAGAGAGAAATCCACGTATGCTTGGTCCTAATGCCATAAAAAAATACATGAAATGTCCATCATTATCAGTTTCAATAAAGGTCAACGTACCAGGATTATTTTTCTCCAGAATGTGACAATACATTGGTAACTTTGCATAGCTATCGTCAGGGCTACCTCGAACCTCTTTGTAAGCAAATTCTTTGGCCATATACGCCTTGTGATATTTTATAGTTATGCCAAACTCTCGACGAACGTCATTGATAATGTTTCTTGGTCTGTACACTATGTTGGCATCATGATATTTTAGAGCTACATGTTTTCCAATTACCGAATAGGTAGCATGTCTATTATCCCTGCGACGAACACTCATAGAGCAAATGTGATGGCTAGAATATTTTCGTATTCGAAAAATCTCAGATTCAGCTACGCTCGTTGCCCGTAAACGCCAGTTACAAATTTTCTCAACACAAACAACTGTATAAACACTCTTATTTGATTTCTTCACTTTAAATTCAAATTGGTACTTCACGGCAAGTAGCTGGAGTTTTGATATCAAAGCACTTTTAGTTGGAAATAGTTCATCATCATGTACATCCTCATTTTCTGGAATCCTAACTGATGATCTATAAGGAATTGAACACAGGACTTGTGTTGAAGTACCAATAATGTCCTCTTCCATGGAGAAATCAACATTGTTTTCATTTCTCGGAGGAGATTTATCTTCGAAATCTTGTTGTTCGGAACTACCTTGAATTATATGCAAGTTATCCCAATCCACAGAGTTTCCTTCTTCTACGTTATCATTTCCATGATCGCCATCATATAGCTCAACTTCATTTTGATGGCTCACATCTCCCTTTTCTACTTCACCATTAGTTTCTACTCCACAATCTCTTTCAAACTCCCTTACACTATCACATTCACCTGTAACTTTAGTCGAAATAGTCACGCAAAGAGGATGTTTTTTACAAATAGAAAGAAACCACTTCACTTTCATGTCACTGTTAATCCTTTGTGGTGGAACTGAAAACTTAGACATTCCAGGATTAAGGGACATCATCTCAATTTCATATAACTTTGAATCCACATTAACAAGTTCTTGCACTTTGTTGTACAACTCTATATACGAAATGCTAGATGGAACATAAAGAATATCCACATTTTCTTCACCGTTTCCTATATAATCCCATGTCCATTTGCTTTCTTCAGTCTTTTTAAACTCGACAAAATAGCATACTTGTACCCATATCATTTCTACAGAATCCATACCTGTAAAAAAAAAAAAAAAGTTAAATAATTTACTCAAGTATATATCAAAGTAATATGAAAATAGTTACCATATTTGAATGATCAAAGTAACCACAATATATCATCAATAATGGACAGATCATAACAGATAACGGTTGTACTATCGTTTTACATGGTAGATAACGACTGTAGTGTCGTTCTGAACTACTAATAACGACTGGAGTGTCGTTATCGTCCAATAGTTGCGGACGATGCAAATATACACCAAATGCGAAAATAAAATCAACTAAAATATCATTTTATACTATATTCAACAATAAAAATACCAATATAAATGAGATTTCTAAAAATACCTTTCTTCTTTCTTTAAATATAGTAGAAATTTCAATGTGGATAATGTAGACACCAAAATCCTTGTTAAAATGCTCAAAATATTAGAGAAGATAGATGAAGAATGTAATGAATAACAAGATTTTAAGGAAGCATCCACCGGGAAAGTACGTCCACTGATTTTTGCTGATGATTTGAGGGATTTAATTGGATTGAAATGGGTATTTGAGTCTTTTCAATGGTGAGGGTATTTTAGACATTTGATCTTATTTGTTTATTGTTTTTTGTAAGTGGAGGCTATTTTATCAAATAACATTGAAGGAAGGTTATTTTACAAATAACATTGTTTGACTAGACTTTTTTATCAAATTCCCCTATTTTTTGACTCTCGTACTCACAGGTAGGCCCCAGTCAAATCAAATAACAGTGCCGAAACAGGGTTTAAACTCTTACTTATAAATTTTTTCCTTTTTTTAATGCCCCGAGAGGCCCGCCATTGCCAAGAAAGGGAACGTGGTCTTCTTGAAACAGTTCACGATCCCCTTTCTTCATTGATTGAGTTAGATAATTGAATCTACACGTGTCATATGTAGGAGTATTCCAATCGATAAAATCTTTTCCTCACTCCTCTCTCTCTCTCTTGCTAGCTCGGCTCCCAAGGACCCGAAAAGGGGGGAAAAAACGAAAAATAAATAAATAAATAAATAAAAATCTGTGATCCATCTTGGATTCGTATAAGTGATTCATCAATTCGGTAAGCATATTTTTGCTGTTTCATTTTTGGAAATTACAGTTGATTTTAATTCTTGGATGAATATATTGTATCAAGAATTTAATTGTTGTTCAAGAGGGATTGATAGTTGGGTGAATTTATTGGAAAAATAAGTAATTTTATTTAATAATCTAGATAACCCAGATTTCAAGAGGCTGATAAAGATTGCCTCAGATCCATGAAACCTAGTTAATATGTGGCAAAAAGTCTCAATCTTTAAGGGTTTTCTTGTGACTCTTGAGGGGGTTTGGTTTCCTTTTTCCTAGGTTCTTTTCCATGAACCCCTTTGTTGTTTCTTCTTCTTCTTTTATGACGGATAAGGGATTGATTTTGTCTTTTTCTTCATGTTGTTGAGTATATAAAGGTTGGTGGTGGAGTGGCAATTTGGTGTTCTTGGGGGAAATTCATCTTGAGGAAGAATTTAAATTCTTCGATTTCTTCGAGAAGCAGATGATTTTGGCAACTTTCTCATATTTGGAGAGGTACTTCACCTCCGTACAGCTTTAAATTCCTTTATATGGAAGGTTAGTTCCTATCTTCTCCCCAGCTGATCCGGTAGTTTGTTCGCCCTCTTAGAATTTTTTCCGCTCTGGGTAGCTTACATAGTTTTCGTGTGTTCCTTGGAGAAGTCTTGGAGTTAATCTTGGCCCGTTTGGCTATAACTTTTTGCTGATCAACTGCGCTCTTGGGCTGAGTATCATTGTTTGTTTCGGTAGATTGTTATGCTATTTTTAATGGTTCCAGGTTTTGAGTAACCTTCCAGGCTTTTCCAAAGTTTGTAGGGGGTAAGAAATGAAGAGTTAAAGAAGTGATTGATCAAGTGTTTGGAGAGAATTATTGGCAAGTTTTGTTAGTTATTAACTTATTACTGCTTTTACGAAGAGGGGATGATGGAAGGGATGATGGAAGAGATGTCTCCAGCAGTTGCAGTTACTCTTGGCTTTGGTAATTCTATATGTGAAAATCCAGGAATTACAAACCATGTAGAAATCATGCGGCTCAAACTAGTGACAGATGCAGCAAGCTTGCTGTCAGATCCTGCACCAGTACCAAATGATGTTTCTAATTCTAGTTCGGATACTGGGGTTCCTGGAAGGACTGATGTGAAACCTGATATATCCCAGGTGATACATACGGCTGAAATTGGTCAGTTAATCCACAGTACCGTGATTCAAGAAATTGAAGAAGATGAAATCTTATCAGCGGGGGATGACCCTAGTGTAATTAATAGCTTGGAGTTACTGCCCTTGGATCCCACTTCAAATTTAAGCTTGCCACTAAATGCTGCTTTAGATAGAAGCTTGCCCATTGCTGTCGAAATTGAGGGCACTGAGAATGGTCAAATAGTTGCAAAAGTCATCAGTGTGGAGGAGAGAGATGAAGTACCCGATGATGTCCTAATGACACCTGCTAAACGAAATGAAGAATGTACTAATGGACCTTCAATAATGGCGTGTGTAGTATCTCTTCAGTTGCCCAGTGAGAAGGGTCCATGCAAAGGAAGTGTTAAGAGTGTCTTTGAGTTGGAGTGTGTGCCACTATGGGGTTCAGTTTCTATTTGCGGAGATAGGCCAGAGATGGAAGATTCTGTCATGGCTGTACCTCATTTTGCGAAAATTCCCACTAAGATGCTTATTGGCGATAGTGTAATGGGTGGGATAAGTCAGACTTTAAGTCACTTGACCTCTCATTTTTTTGGTGTGTATGATGGTCATGGGGGATCTCAGGTATGTATGTATGGTTTTCCAATGTTGATGATTTGTTTCTTTTCAGAGACTAATTTGACTTAGTTTTTCATTTTGGGAAAACACTTTTTAACACGCGCATCAGTAATAAGTGATGATATAGTTTTGCATGACATAGTTTTTGGGCAAAGAAACTAGACTACACAAGTGTGTGTGTGCAGAATCATATGTTTTGCATGACGTAGATTCTGATGTATTTTGTTTTCCTTGAACTCATTCATTTTTCAGCGTTCACGAATATCCACTTTTTTGGGATAGTTTGTCCATTTGAAAAACCTTTGATTGGACTGACCAAAGGTGTTTAACCTCCATCTCCTGGGACAACGTAAGGTGCAACGTCCCTTTCAAAATGAATTTTGCTTTCCTTGAACTCATCCAGTTCTTACCAATTTTCTTTTAAGATAGTTGGTCTGATTGAAAAACCCCTTGGTTGGACTGACCAAAGGTTTTAATCCTCCATCTCCTGAGACAACTTAAGTTGCAACTTCCTTGACGTTATTCAGTTGACCCTTATCAATTTTGCACATTCAAAATCGCAGTTCATATTCATCTTGAGTAAATTTGTGATTGAATGGAACTTCATTGTGTAGGTTGCAAATTATTGTCGTGACCGTATCCATTTAGCTTTAGTAGAAGAGCTAAAAATTTACAAGGATGATTTGGTGAATGGAAGTACTATAGAAACACGACAGGTGCATTGGGAGAAGGTCTTTACAAATTGCTTTTGCAAGGTTGATAATGAAGTTGGGGGAAAAGCAAGCAGAAACATTCCTAAAGAAAGTACGGAATCCTATAGTAACACCTTTGAAGCTGTTGCCCTGGAAACTGTTGGGTCGACTGCTGTTGTTGCAGTGCTTTGTTCGTCTCATATTGTAGTTGCCAACTGTGGGGACTCAAGAGCAGTTCTTTACCGTGGTAAAAAAGCAATTGCATTATCAAATGATCATAAAGTAAGCTTGTCTTCATTATTTTGGTTCCTATTAGTCCCTATCCTAGTAAACAAATTCATTTTTCTTGTCCTTTTATTTAACTTACCAGCCAAACAGAGAGGATGAATATGCTAGAATTGAAGCTTCTGGGGGTAAAGTCATACCGTGGAATGGACACCGTGTTTTCGGTGTTCTTGCTATGTCGAGGTCCATTGGTAGGTCTACTAATCTTTGCAGCAATAAATTGTCCGATTCTTGCATTTGTGAATGTGCATATAAATTGATGTGTGTTTATATTAACATCTTTATCAAAATTTGGAAATGTTATTGGTCCTGCTATTTTGAAATTGAAATGGATTTATATGAAATTTTTTCTATTATTCATTTTGCTGTCATCATTTGAGGTGAAAATCATAAAGAATTTGTCCTGATGCAGCAAATTCCATTTTCGGCTAGAGAGTTTGTATCTGTGGTCCTCCTGTTGTTGACCTGGCAGACTGCATTGCAACTTCATAGCGTTATTATTTAGCGCCATTCTTTTACTAGTTAACTCCATTTATTCAAAGTCAATTAACTTATTACTCATCAAGTTTGCATCTTTTTTCTTCATTTTTCACTTTCTTTCATGCACACATGCACTTGTGAGTTCCTTTTGGTTCTAATTCACCAGACCTTGTGGTTGATCTATCATTCTGTTTTTCTGATTCTCTGTGATTAGCCCTTTTCAATATTATATTTTCTTTGTGATTTGCCCTTTGTTGTTACTTTTTATTTACCTCTTGTCCTCTGTTATATACATTTGCTGTCAGTCAATGATTACAATATTGATGGGCTATATATGTTGCTTCAGTGCGATATATTTTTATACCTTAACCTTCTGGTTAACTACATGAAAATAAATGAACGTGTATTAATAATAAGTTGAAAAGGTCCAGCCAATCTTGAACTTCAATCGGATTCTTTTTCAAGGTGTAATAGTTTTACCCTAACAAGTTTTTCTCTTTCCTTTCTTTTTAATTTTTATTTGCTTTATTGTGGACATACTTTAATGACAGCCTCCTGTCCTCCATCTCACGACACCACAATTGATGGACAAAATGTTTGTTGACATTTAGCTCTCTATGATCCTCTCTTCTCTCAGGTGACAGATACTTGAAACCATGGATTATACCGGAACCAGAAGTCATGTTTGTGCCCCGGGCTCGAGACGACGAGTGCCTCGTTTTGGCGAGTGATGGGTTGTGGGACGTCATGACTAATGAGGAAGCATGCGAAGCAGCTAGGAAACGGATTTTGATTTGGCACAAAAAGAACGGGACTAACCCATTGGCAGATAGAGGCCAAGGAATCGATCCCGCAGCGCAAGCAGCAGCCGAGTACCTTGCGTCGCTGGCACTTCATAAAGGGAGCAGGGATAATATTTCTGTGATTGTGGTGGACTTGAAAGCGCAAAGGAAGCTCAAGAGCAGATCATGATGACATTGTTGACAATCACTTTGGTGCTTACATAGCCCTTGTTTGAGCCCATTTTGGAGGAGAAAATGAATTTTTGAATAGTGTATTGATAGAAAATGTATGGTTAAAAAATAAGAAATTTTTTTTGATTTGCGTATAATATTATTTTATTGAAGAATATGTGGTTGAAATGATGTTAAATCACTATTGAAAAATGTATTTTGGTGAAAAAATGGAGCTCAAACAAGAGCATAGTTCTTCACTTCGTAAGCATCTCATTAATCCATGAACTGTCCATTAATTTTACTCATGGGTTTCAAGTGTGTGAGAGAATAGTATTTCGTAAATGACCCATGTCCAAGTTTTGGTTATGTAAATTGGCGCCATCGACAGGCGCCGCTATGCCCCTTAATGAATCGTTGACCTTCGTTTCATGGCCCCAGCCAAGGGCGCCTATGCCCCTTCATGAATCGCTGACCTTCGTTTCAGTTAAGTAAAATGATTCATGTTCAAAGTTTGGTTATCTAAATTGAATGTGTGTGTGTGTATTGCATAAAAGTAGAGTTGTAAACTTGACAGATAAGATACTATTTTTGTATGCAACCTGTGCATGAATTTATTAATGATGAAATCGAGTACGAGGTTGGGTTAAATGAATCGATCTAATTACATAGAAGTTATCTTAGGGACAAAGTTGACAAGATCATCCCTAATTCCAAAGTTTCTTTAAGCACAAGAATTTTGTACAATATCTTCCCGTACATTCCGTTTTGTTTCCCATCCCAGTCTTTCGCAACACTTCAGGTTTACTTCTTTTGTTAGGTCTCGACTTTTTCGCTATGATCTTCCCGAAGTTTTGAAAACAATGTTTCGTAAAATAATTCCTACTTTTTTCCTTACAAGAACATTGAATAAATGAAGAGAATAAAATATAAAATATTGGTACTAAAATCTTAAAAATTGGTAATTTTTGCGGCAAATTGAAGCTTAATAAGATCCATTACGTGATATGGGAGAGAAAAAATATAAAAAATTGAAAGAATTCTACCTTTAAATTATTTGTAGGGAAAAATTTGTCGATATATCTTTCAATTATTTGTAAATGACAGTAACAATTTATGTATTTGACCTCGACCTACCACAACCTTGAACTCATAGAAAAAAGGGCTGAATGAGCAAATTTAAAATTTGTAAAATTTTTGAACTTGTCTCTACCTCAATACCAACTTCAATTTATTCGTCTGAGTAATTGTCAAAATATCTAAAATTTTGTCAATCTCAATTCACTATTTGTACCGAAAAGGGACAGGTGGCTAATATTGAAAAGGCACTAGACAACTTTCTCTAAAGACCTCGTCAAGCTTGATTCAACTAGTATTATTCAAATTGGTTAAACTTTTTATGCTCATCAAGTAATAAAATATGCCAGTGGCTCACCAAGTCATCAAAAGTGAAGGTTGGAAAACAACATTGTAAGCATATTGACTATTCCAAAAATAATAATAATAATAATAATAATAATAATAATAATAATAATAATAATAAATAAATAAATAAAAAAATTAAGACCATGTTTGACAATCATTTTCTCTCATTATTTCTTTCTCATATCCATTTTCGACTACACATTCTCACAAAAAAATATTCCTCGTGTAAATTCAAAAAAATTTCTTACTTTTAACCACACACTATTTCAAAATGTACTATTCAAAAACTCGTTCTTTTCAAAAAATCTAACAAACTACTGCTAAAGTAACATTAAAAGTACATTGTCCACTGAGATTTTTAACCCCTCATCAAGCTTGAGCAATATAAACCAAAATTCCAGTTAGTTCTTTTTCTTTTTCTTTTTTCAATTAACCAAGAAAATATTTGAAAAAGAGAAATATTAATGAAATAATATACATATACAATAAGGTTTACACCTTGGAGTACATAATGCTCAAGTTGTATTCATTATTGATTGGTGGAAAACCCTGATGTACATGTAACAAAACCCAAAAACAATAAGAGCTACACATCTTTCATTGAGCATAAGTTGCATGCTAAAAATAAGTGAAACTATAATAATTGCAGAATTTCTAATCCATAAAAGTTACAACAGTTTAAAACTTATTGTTCATCCTTAATAATTATTAACAGACAATGAATGCATAATAAGCACAGGCAATCATTTGTTGGAGGCTAATCCCTTCGTCACCTCTCTAAGTGATTCTTTTTCTTGCTTTATGTATTGAAAAACACTTCTCGCCCAGCCCCCTCCAATAGGGGGGCGCC